GACCCGCCCAGCGGCGCCTCTGCCCCGGGAGCCGCCGGGAGCGCGCGCAGCAGCCTTGGCCCCGCCCCACCCCGCCTGGCCCGCTGCCCCGCCCCCTACTCGTCCTCATCCCTCACGGGGACAGACCTGGGAGCGCTCGCCCGGGCCCCGGGGTGGAGGGCTTGGTCCCTAGCCCAACTCGGACTGGGAGCGAGCTGCTTGCAGCAGAGGACTCCGGCCTTTGCCTTCACAACGACACCACGGGCCAGCTGCCGTCCACCGCAACCCTGGCTTCTCCGTTCTTTGTCAGCAAGCAACAAGTCCAGAGGAGAGAAGTCGAGTCCTGCCTCCTGTGGGGCCCATGGACTGAGGGGCTGCTTAGCACGGGCAGGATGACAACACTGCCTGGACGTGTGGTGAAACTAAGCCTCCAGGCACACACCTGCTCTCAGCGGATCAGATCCAATGCACAGGGATCCTCAAACTGCCCTGAAAGAAAAAGCAACATATTCCAGTCACAACAGGCCCCAATTCATTCAACATCTGCACGCTCCCCGTTCTGAGAGACACTGCTGCCTGAGCATTCGCCCTCAGGCAAGGCAAGCGAGGGGCACCAGGCAAACTGCAACAGATCTGAACACCACGGTGCAGCCTTCTCCGAGTAATTTACATCCCTACCAAACATTAAATATCTTTAGGTTCTTTATTTGTACCACATAGACCAGCAGTGTTCAACTTTTCTGATGTGCAGGCTGCCGGTGCGTGGGCTAGATCCAGCATGCAGAGCTGCGATTCAAGTATGCTGAAGGCTGTCGCGTGCACTCGCATGGAGCCAAGGCTCAGAAGGCAAGGCAAGTAGCAGCTAGGCTTGGTCTGCCCAGCTCTGATGGGAGTTAGAGAAGTCTGCCCGGGAGTTTTGATCTATAGAGAAGTCACTCCCACAGAATTCTCCCGCTGCAGCCGCTGTGTCAACAAGGTGGGAACAGAATGGGATGAACACAGTAAAAGCAATGGAGCAGGGCAATTCACATCATGGTCAGCCACAAAACAACACTGCCCACCACATAATCACCCTTCCAGTTCAGCTTTTGGAAAGAAAGAGCTCTGCCTTCTAGACATTAAGCACCACAAGAGATGACTATTGTAAAAACAGCTAATGAGATTACACAATTTGGGCAGGATCAGGCACTTGGCTACTGCAGTGATGAGAGCTGTTATAAATTAAAAGGACAGCATTGTTCAGCGATCTCTTGTATAAAAATGGACCAAAGAGGTTGTACTCCAAAGCACAAACTCCTCTTGTTCAGACTGCTGATTTCCCCAAGAATAGAAGTAACAGCTCTTATCGATTGGGCTCTTCAGCAGATGGCCCAATATGTCAGACTCCCAGCAGCAATACTGAGGAATTCATGGAGAAGGAGAACATAGCATCTTCACATCCACTGCTCTAGAGGGGTAAATCTAGAAGGTAGCCCTTCAGTAATGTACAAGCAACAGAAAGGCAGCTCTCACCCTGACATATGATCTAGTGGTTGGATGAGAAGACTGGTGTTTCCGATTGTACTGTGAAGAGATCATTGACCTGCTACCGTCACATACATCCACTATCTGGAAGAATCCAGGGACTGGCCTTTGTTTGGGAAGTGCCTTCCACCAGGAAACAAGGGAAGGGGGTATTGCTGCTCACGTGTAAAGTATGCACTTTTAACAGATTCTTTACCACACTGCTGGAAAAATGACTTCATATGGGCCAGACTGGATAGTTTGAGGGGATCCTGGAAATTGAGGGTGAGAAATATTACAGCAGCCCATGATGAAACTGTTTTCATCACCAGAGTGCATGAGGGCTCTTCTTTGGTGGGTACAGTGCAAGGTGACTGCCTCCTGCTCCATGCTCATACAGCTCTCTAGGGATATCAAGGTGAATGGAGAGCAAGCTACCAGATATTTTACTTGTTCTAGATATCAAATCACATTTTTCCTGGGAGTTAAGAACAGTGAATTCTTCAGAACCTTTGGAGAAGGTACAGAACAGGCAAACACTTTACCCAAGTTTTCATCCTGCAATAGATGGCAGCTTTCTTGGCAGTTACAAGGACAGGCAAGAAAGTGCCTGGAAATTTGGGAAGTCACCAACCTTTGCTGGCCTGTCACTAACTGCAGGGGAGACAGATTTGCCTGAGGAAAGCTCAACTTAGTAGTGCTTCTGATTCAACCATAAATAATACCCTTGGCAAATGTCACTGAAACAAGTAAGTTCTTACCAGATATTCCAGCTGTTTTGGAAACATTCAAGCGATCCAGCTTTGCAACAGTGCACTGTCAGGACACTGTCCCAGGCGAGGCAGGTCTGGAGATTCTACAACAGCTTCCAAGCCCCAGTAACGAGTTGGATGAATGGCTCCATTGAAGGGAACCCTGGGCAGACCACACTTCCACAGACACAAGGATTGTGGGTGCCAGCAAGCAAAGGTAAAATTCATAGTTCAAAAGGGGTGAAGCAAGCCCTTCCAAAGGAAGCCTGACACCCACTGTTGCCATCCAGAAAATCCATCAGCCTCTAAAATAACCCACTCAATAGCTTCATTGCCATATTCATTCTTCTCCAGTCATTGCTAATGAAAATAAAGGCTTATTAAAATACTCTGTACATGACTACATGCTGGGCTTTCTTGGTAGCCTTGTGTACAATTCAAGTATAGTATTTACTATGCTGGGCTTCAAACAGCACAATATATGAAGAGTAAGAGCTACAGCACTGTCCCAGAAACTACTGAATCATACATTCCCATTTGGACTAAAAATATTCAGTGTTTATGCGAAAGACCCAAATTTGGAAGCACTGGATGCAGATGTGAGCACCAAGCTAGGGAACCAAAGCTTCCTTATTTAATAGCTTAGCTACTTGCAGGAAATTAAGGACAGGTCTACACTGCAGACCACTTCCAACATAACTATATCAGTCAAGGCCGCAGTTCCTTGACAGTAGATTTATCAGATAAATTCCCTTATTATAGATAGTCCAAAAGAACTGACTTTGCTCATTGAGGTAGTTTAGCTATACTTGTACAAAGTGCAGCTTTGCTGGAATAGGAACTAGGAGTGCTTTAATGGTACAATATACTAGGATAGCATACTCTTATAATAGTTACAGCCTGAGATCACAATTCTTGTTAACATTTCCTCCTGATGGTTATATGGTATTACCTCATTTCCTAGAGCTACCAAGGATACAACAATACTGCTCCTCCCACCCCAACAGCTTGAGCACTGCTTGAAACTTGTATGACTGATGACATCCTGGTTGGGTCAAAGCCAAAATTCACTACGAATTCCCCACAACTCTGTGGGAGGGTAAAGTATAAGAACTCACTACTGTCTCCAGACACCAGTGTTGCAAGTGCTGTGACATTAAAGCATTTCATTTCCAGAAAGGAGATGGAGATTGCTTAAAAATCAGCACAGGGAATCCAGACACAATATCCTAACAAGTAAAGCATCTATTGCCAGACACTGGTCATCTGCACTCCAAATGTACATCCAATTCTCTCAACTGCTGGTCCTAAAGAGGCAGTTCTCCAAACAGTCTCTTCCCTTTGCCCCCTTTCCCTGAGGAGCGTGTTGACATTTCATTGTGTAGGATCAGGAAGGAAGAACAATCTGTACACAATGATTAGCCCTGATATTTTAATGGAAATACTGCACTACAGTCAAGTTTACAACATTTGTATAGAAATCATCACATGGATAGGTGGCCAAGGATCACATTACAGAATACAAAAAGCAATTTAAAATAAAAAGAAATCTTTGCTATTGTACAGGCTGGGATTGGAGCTTGGAGCTCGGATGTCAGACATCGGGAGGGATGAAAGCCATTTGTGAAAACCCTGCTGCAGGAGGAGGATGACTCCCCATCGTTGGTTGGTTGTTTTTTTTTTTTTTTACCTGGGCACCTTTAACAGCAGAAATCCCGCCATGTTAACCCCATTCCGCTCAAATGACATGCAGGCACAGACTCTTGGGACAACACACCCACAAAGCAGCAGCAGCTGTTACTTCCAAGCTGGCAAAAGTCATCCAGACTTCCACTTCCAGATCAGCTTTAGCATACATAGAAAAGAAACACCCAAGGGTGGGGGAGGTAGGGTGAGGAGCATGTGTCAAACCTTTGAAATGGAAGAGGACACAAGAGAACCCCCCTTCCTATCTGAATACAGTGAAAGGAGGAGAAACTGGACAGGTAACTTATTGCTGGCAAACTCTGAATACTCCCTGGTGGGCTCTTTACTCTCTTTTCCTCTCTCCATAGGAGGCTTCCATTCATCACCGTGGCTGGAACCACTCTCCGTACATTGGCTGCCAATGACTAATGACCCCTCTAGGCCATGCACTTTTGCCCCTCAGCTCCCCCACAGGCTTCAAGATTTGGAGCGATTCCCCTTCTCCAAACCTTTTGCACCCTGCTCCTCTCCATCTCTCTCTGCCTGAGGAAAGAACTCAGTTCCCAGAGGAGACAAGCATCTGTCTCAAAATCCCCGTGGCAGATTTAATAAGTAGACTTCTGAAAAGTGGCAAAACTGCTTTTGTGGCTCTGCAGCTGGGAGTGTGGAAGCAGTCTGGGCGCTACAACTCCTGGCAGCATCACTTTGTGCAAGGAAAGGACACTTTCTCCGAGGAGGTGAGACAGTGCAGCTGTGTCTGTCGTGGCTTACGAAGTCCATGCTGACTTCTTTTAAAATCAGATTTGTCCACTGTTTAAATATCTGCCAGCACTAAATTTCTATACTTAAAAAAATATATATCCCATTTGAGGATTTCACTAGTGAAATGCACCAAAAAGCCCACCCATATGCCCTTCTCTCGTACACACACGCACACTCGCACACAAAGCAGCTTTATCAAATACTGGTTTGGTACTTAGGATGTTTTTCTCTAATACTGAGAGGGAAAAATACATAAGCACAATCAATCCCAGCTAAGTAGCTCAGTAACACTTCCCAAAAGTGAAGATCCTTGGAGCTGGAAGACAAGGTGGATAAAAATAACCCACCAGAAAAAAATTAAAAAAATTAAAAGTTATATAATATATATTTATGTATCTTAACAGGCTGCTTATCACCTGGTCACATCATCCACAAGCCACACACATTGCTTCTGCTTTTTCCCTTCAGATTGTAAAGCCGATAATAAAAGTGGTCAAATATCTCCCTCTCTCATGCCCTCCCACCCGCACAAACTGCATGCTGCATGGTGCCTTTCAGAACAGGAACAGGGCTGTGGGTGAGCGAGTTGTCTTCCTCAAGTAAGAACAAAGATGTATTTTTATTTACAAAAAAAGAAAAGAAAAAAGTTTTCACACAAAAGCACTACAATGATAACTCCCTTTGGTAAAAAGTGTAATAAATGTCTTCATAGGTCTGTCTGTAGGTACTAAGTCTCAAGCCACCTGGTACTATGGTACACAAGAAGCTAGTACAGTTAAGCTAGCACATCAAGCATACTTTCTTTAATAAAAAACAAAAAAATTGACAATATGTACATTTATTTACAAAAAAGGAAGGGGAACATGTTAAAATTGTGTTGTTTCTCTCGTGTGTGTGTATACATGTGTGTGAACAGCTGGTGCATGGCACTAGGAGAGACTAGTAAACAAGCAGGTACAAAAACAGTTCCACTGGCACTAGAAAGGACAGACCAATCTGAACTGGTTAAGTCAGGAGTCCAGCATGGGAAGGAGTAGAGGGAAGGTGAAGGAGGCAGCAAGTGGCAGCTCCATGAGGTGGCTTCTGGCAGCTGGATTGCAGGGGTGATGACCCCGTGTGAGATCCTAGCAAACCTGCTGCAGCGTAACAGGAAAATCCAGTTGCGACAGGCACCTCTGGGTTTCATGACACTTCTGAGCATGTAACTTAAATGCACTGATCCGATCAGGATGTGGAAGGCATCCTGTTCTCTTCCCTTGACGTTCAAGCCATTGGGGAAATCAAGTCTCAACACTGCTGGTGTGTACAAGCTAGTTGTGTTTCTCTAGGATTGCTCAGTTCCAAGAAGGGTCCTTCCCTCCACAGTGCATGCTGAAGTCAAAGGCCTGTGGGTAACAGTTCCAGCACATGTTTGTAGGGATTCACATTCCTAAAGAGAATCCCTCTGGTGACAGGTTGTACCAGCTGCGCACTAGTCAAGTGGCCATGTTACGGAGATACACAGTGAAGGGAGAAAGGCATCTTCCTCGTTTCCTTGATGCGCGCGCACACACACACACTCACACTCTGTGATCTTCCCTAGCCCAGGGAGCTTATGGTGTCTTGAATATTGTGCCATATTTGACACGGTACTTGTTAATGCTCACAAAGTGCAGGGTCTCTGTATCACAGGTGGTGGTACATGGCACCAAGCCTTCCAACCCTTCTCCCATTAGCCACTTGTTTGTTTCAGCTGCCATTTCACGGGTCACATGCTCCTTGGTCCATTTGTCCACCCAGGCCTGGAATCTCTGGTGCAGCCGCTTGCTCACTCTTTCATGGGACTAAAGAAATGGAAAGAGACATTAAGAAAAGGCTACGGATCATTACATGCTTAGAGTGAACCACAGCAACTTCCTAGGCTAAAAGACTTAGGGAGCTCTTTTCTCTTTAGGGGAAACTTGGAATGCACACACTGTTCCTTGCTGGTTAAAGAAGATAGTGCTGATGGCTTCCAGAGACAGCCCACTTTATCAGTGGAAGAAAAAAAAAAAAAAAAAAAAAAAATCTAATCTAGGTCTAAAAGCCAAGCACTGGTAAAAGTTGGATGGTGAAACTAAAGCCAGGAAGACAAAATTCCACAATGTTTGTAAAACTGCTACACAACTCTGCCACTTGGTATTTTCTATATTATTTTCTGGGATAGCTAGACCACCAAATTAAAGGTTCAGATCAATGAACAAAGACAGTGGAAAATAAATTATACCAAATATTAGGTAGAATTAACTCTAAAGATTATTTTTGTTGTCAATTTTCTAACGTGAGCACTTGGATCCTATTTCCCTAACTATGTCCAATGCTAAGCTTTTCATGTAATTTCTCTGTTTAATAAATGTCAAATGAGGCAAAACTGTGGTCTTCCTTAAAATAAGAGCATTGATCAAAAAAATCATAGAAACCAGGATGGATTGATTTAGAATCAGTGAGACTGACATCGCTGATTTTAAAAATCAACAAGCAGGGAAGCTTTGTTTAAACCATAATTTTCACCTGTATTTTTTTGAAGTTATTTTCCTAAGAAAGCATGATTTTCAATGTCTGGCAGCTATTATAGCTAGTAGGTTTTGTGGTTAATTAGAACTTTGAACTGAAAATTAGTATATATTTTATCCTGGTGAGGAAAAAGAAAAATACCATCAAATGCTACTTTTATAAAATAAAGCTGTTTCATATACAGTCCGAGTCTTACATTTTTTAACAATACTGAAAACAACAAATAGCATTTCTTATTTACTAGATAATATTTTTACTTCAAATTTGTTTTGAAAAGAGTTTGGATGGAACTGTAATAAATATGCATGAAAACAGCATTTTAAAGTGTTTGTCAGACAACCAAAATGACCATAAATACACTGGATACATAAGAAACGTTTCTCAAAACATGCTTTGAATTTTGAACCAATCTGTTAAACAAGGAAAGTATTATCTGCAGTTAGTGAACTGAACCGATTGTTCCTGGTCACCATGTTCTTCAGATCTCATCCTTTCACACCTCATTTTTATTCATAGATTGGAAGAGGAAAACAAGCCTTCCTGCTTTTTTCAGTTCCCAACTGATTTCTCTGCTTTGAATGAGCTAGTCATTGAATTGAACTGGCTGAAAAAATTACAATGAAGGAAATATTCTCTGCTCCAGCAGAAAAGGGTACTGCTGACACAAGCTGGTTCAGCACTTCAACAGATTCTGGTTCCAGGTGCTTAGCCGAGGACTTCTACCACATCAGTAGTTTGACTCTAAAAATTCTGCAGCCAACACATATTATTTAATGCTTTAAGTGCTGTCATCATTTTGATAGAACCTGTGTTTAGGACTAAACTTACATTTTTAAATAGGCGTGTCTTCTAATACAGTTTTCATTTGAACATAAAAAAAAATTGGATTATTAACTTATCCATTTTTAGCTACCCTGATACAAATATTCTAATGTGATGAGAAATCAACAATTTGAACCAGGTCTAACTTTAAAAAAATTGGAACACTAAACCAATTGTCTTCAGCCTTTGATATGTTACAGTCTCAGTGAAGAAGCAAGGTGAAGTCAGATATTTATAATTTAGTACATTCCAAGAGAAGAAGAGAAGTAGCCTCCTGTCAACCTCTCATAGCTTATGAGGGGCTGAAAAGTTTGAACTCTTCACACCCCACATCCAAAGTTTAGTTTTGGACTGAACAAAAAACCCACAGCCCTGCTGAGTAATTTAATAAAGGGTTGCAGGGAAGTGTAACTCTCATTTAAAAACTGGTCATTCCTAGAAACTCCTACACATGTTGCCATAGTTTGGCTATTCTGTTGGCCTATGAATTTCTGAGACCAGAACACACACACTGGATGTTTCTGTAATTGTGTCCTCACTTCATCTATCCTTGCCACAAATCCAGCACGTTGGAGCAGTGTGCATAAGCCTTTGCAGTGCTCTTTTGTGTGGCAGCAACCCTAGGACTCCTGCTCTCAGTGACTATGAGGATGAGACAGTGGATGTGGTTGGGGGGAGCTGAGTCAGAACAGAGGCACTTGAATTCATTGCACTCTGTATGCTCCCTCTTTGGGGAAGCCCTAGAGACCATGTGCTCTTACTAGTGATTAAGTGGTCACAAAACAAACCCTCCCTAAAAAAAAAAAAAAAAAAAAAAAAGGAAGTAGCCTATGGAAGGTGCCCCTAAGCAAGGAACCTGAAAGCTAAGGCCCCTATCAACTTCCCTATGTATTATATCTGTCTGGAGAAAGGAGGGTGTTGAGAGATAGGAGAGTAGCATAAGGGTTACATCTCAAGGATATTCAGAGGATCTTTGCAGCCCCCTAGGAAGACTAAACCAATAGTGTATAATCCTCATGGGGACAGACTGCTACATGGCACAGATCAAGAGCCCAGTGGACACTTCATCTGAGTCTTGCCAGCTGCCTTTTGAGAGCAAAAGTTCCAGGGAAAAAAAAACACTGGCTGCTCTTCTCATTCTTTTGGCTTCCTACCTGCTGAGCACGCAGCAGAGCGGTCCTCCTGTACATGTAATCCTCCGATTTGATCACGTACACCATCTTATAGGAGTTCAGTTTGAATTTACACTCCAGCTTGTCCAAGCTTTCCACATTCTCCATGGACTTCTTACTGTTTCCCTCCTTCCCTTCCTTCTCCTGCTGCTCCCGACCACGCTGACACTTACGGATCCGCCTCAGATTCCTGTAAACCAGAGAATCCCACCTGGAATTAGTGCTTTCCCTCTACAACTAGGCTGGATGTATCTGGGGGTGGTAGAATAGTTCTGCACCCACCCTTTAAATAACCCAAACTATTGCTTGGGGAGGAACTGCCACAACTATTTAGGCGTATGTGCCTACGAGTCAGCCTGCTGGTCCCCCTTCTTACAGAAACTGAAAGTCTGTCAAGGCTACTTTATAGCCGTCTCCCTGCGCATGAAATGCACTGACTCAGCACCTTCTGTGGTCCAGTGGAGGGCTACTGTAAGCCAAGGCAAGACTGCCAAGAAAGGGTTGGTGATTCCCCAACACCTCTCAGCTCCCTGCTATTTGCAGACTATGCCATCTCTAAGTCACTGGAGAGCAGGAGCCCAGGGTGGACTTGCAGGGTTTTGAAATGAACAGCAGCCCAATACCTCTACCCAGCACTGCCAGGGCTATTGGTTTCTAAAGTGGTGTAGTACTAACGCACAAAAGACTGAAATATTTTTTGCTGATTGAGGAAGATTTCTCCTCCCTTTACTGTCATGGGGACTTGTGGCCCATGTTAGGGTTCACAGCCACAGCTAGCTCACTTACCTTGGCAGGAAGACTGGCTTCTGTGCCAGGTGTTCCCGAAGCTCAGGGGAGGTAGAATCAGAGTTGACGTACCGCTCTACATAATCTGACCAGCGCTGAAAGAGGGAGACAAAAATTGTAATTACCTAAATTGAGGCACTGAAACCGAAACTTGAAAAAGGTCAGGCTAGAAATCTTCGAAGACTTCACGTGTCCCACCCCCACCCCACTTAGCATCCCTGCAAGGCATAATACAGACATTTACTATTTTAGTTATCCATTTTAAAAATAAGCTAGTAAGTACTTTTTAGCCCACATGTCTGGAGTTCTTGGTCTTATAGGACACTTCTGTTTGGCAAGAGGCAGGTCATATGCCCATGATATCTGGAACATCTGACAGCTCACCCAGTACAGTACACTGTTTAGATATACAACTTCAGGACTGCAAAGGCTAAGTATATACCCAAATTCAATGTAAACAATGTTCATTAACCATAAGAATAACTTTTATTGAACTATCTGCACTTCATTAAGGCTCATTACCTTATTTCTCATTAGTGCCTTACAAGGCCTCTAATAACAGCCTTGACAATGACAAGGCCTAGACAGTCCAAGGTTACTTGAAGAGCTTTGAAAATTAATGGTTTGTTAAATTTCCATGTCACCAGCAATGCAGTTAAAGTGGAGCACAATTACTATACAAACTATTTAGTGGGGCTTAGGAGTTTCTATGCAGCAAGCACAGTTTATGCACTAAACATATTCATACGTTTCATTTGTTGCAATATAAGCAATAAACAAAAAAGTCAGCATTATGTAGGTAAGCAAATTATTCACATATCCCATATGCATATAAATCAGAGTACGGTATAAAAGCATTTCCAGAAGCAGCCAAAACTCTGAAGAATCTGTTCTTACCTCTGCCTCTCTTACCTCCGCCTCCACAGGGTCATCCGAGTTCTCTTCTTCCGTGTCCAGAAGCTCAATGGTTAACTGGACTTGACCTCTATTCTGAATGAACATGAGCTAAAAAGCAAAATACCAAATGGAATTTAGAGACCTTCAAACAACCTCCTTCCCAGTCAGAGCAATAGAGAGAGAAAGAAATTAAAAATTAATTTCATGTAATGATCAGACATAACACCAAAGCCCTAGCAGGATGGGACGCAAAGAGAATGTTCGCCATGAGTTACACAACCAGAATACAGAAATGTAGAAGCAGATCTGATGAGCAGAGAAGTTCCAGCTTGCTAAGGGGCCCATCTAAGAGTAGGTAAAAACAAGAACATAAGGATAAAGACATTTTCTATGTATACCAGCAAAAGAGAACTGCTATAGCCAGAGCACCATGACACAGAATGATTTACAAGGAACACTTAATGGCTGCAATAAATGGCAGGCAAGAAAGCTGCTTCATTTTGGTATTGCCAATTCACTCAGCTCAACCATTAACATTAGTTTCAAATTAGGAAGCTTATACAGGCAGACCATCATGTTAGACATCTTTTAGAAGGCATATTACTATCCAATCAAGCCCTGTAGTTTTAATTCTTTACCTCTTAGCTTATTTTGAAGCTCTCAGTAAGAGCAAGATATAGTCCAAAATAACAGAAGCCTCGATCAATTAATTTTACTAGCTAAGGGTGGCTCTGATCATTTCCTATTTCACAGTAATGAGAAGTATGGATTTTTAAAATGTTGCATCAGATATATTTAGTGAACAGTCAGCAAATAAAAATGTAGTGCATAGTTCGTACATAATAGCAAGAGATTCCATGCTACAAAGGGTGAGGTAGAGAAAAAATTGGAAAGCTTTTCTGACCCAGAAAAAGATTAAAATCAATGATGCATCAGTGTGAGACTGAAGTGCCGTGAAATACAAGGAAAACTCTGTTTTGTTCAGGATCCATATTTGTCCCCAATCTGTCTTTTAAGGGTCTTGGTTCTAAAAAAATTCCTATAGGAAGTGTTAATACTGTCTCTGTGTGCAAGTTCTACAATATCTGTTTACATTAACACAGGTCCTATCAAGGATTGAATAAGTAGTGCCATAGTGGGTAAGAACAATGGTCCATCTAGCCCAGTATCCCTGTCTCTGTCAGAGGCATAAGTGGTTGCAAACGGGAAAGCAATGTACCAGACAGAACTAGAGTGATCTATCCTCTACCCATTACCCTCCCTGGTGTCCACCATTGTTGGTTTAGACATCCCAAAGGAAACATCACCAACTGTTCTGTTCAACAGCTATCAATGGATCTCTCTAGTCCCTTTTTGAACCTGGCTGCTATCTGCCTCTACCACCTTGTGTGGTGATAAATTTCACAAAAGTTAACTACATGTGTAAAACAGTTAGTAGTACCTCCCTAGGGAGATTCTATGAAGTTATAACAAGCTATAATGGGCCACAAAGATTTCCCTATAACATTCTACAAGAGTTTCAGAGCAGGCAAATGTCCACAGGTCTTTGGGATATTTGTATCCTTTGCTCTTTTCCTGTAAGGACACTGTAATCACCACTCCTTTCTTATGACATCTATCAGGGATTCCTCCCCTATGAATCAGTGTAGACACTGAAGGTCACTGTAATTCTTACCTTGAAACAGTTCTCATCAGACATAAGCTGCTCTGCTTTGCGTTGGTACGTAGCCTCCAAAAGGGTGCGAGATGATTGTGTGGTCAGCAGACCTCCAGTAGCTCCATTGTTATTCTCTGACAGGTAAAGATCTGTCACCTGCACACAGATCTCATCACTAACTATGTGCTGGAGCTGTGAACATGAAAAACATGGAAAACTATTAGGGAAAAGAGTTTTTTTAAAAAAAGGACAACAAATGCCTCTGGACTTGGTACACTGCCTACCACCAAACTCCCACATAGGTGTGGAGGAGGCCTCACATAATTTATAAGCTGGATGCCCTGTCTTTTACACCCAGGGTTTAGAAGAAAATAGAACACTAAGAATATTTTTTTAATTAATACCATACATAGAAGTTTTAAAGTTTGACATTAAAGGAAACTAGTAAACAGTGCTGAACTTTCATCACTTCATCTTCCTGCATTTTCATACACAGACCTTTTATATAGGTCTATTATAAATACTCTAGAGTCACAAATGACATGTGGGAAGCCACTTTGGATCTCCTGAAACATGCGGAGACAGTCATTTGCAGATTTTCCACCCTACACACTATGCAAACCTGTACTGGCTGAAGGATTCCACATGTTCATCAGCATAGATAACAAGAAAGCACACACTTAATTCCTGCTTTGGACTACTGTTTGCTCAGAGTTTTTAGCTAAAATGTCCAACAAAACAGGACAGGTTATAGACTTACTAATCTTTTTCTACTGTGTAGTGATTACTACAGCTATTAGGAACGTGTCCTTTAAAATAAGTACTAGAAAGTGCTATGGGGGAGGTACACAAACTAGATGGCAGGGAGCAAATCCAGGCTGATTTGGACAGGCTGGGGAATGGGCTGAACAGAACAGGATGCTGTTTAACAAGGACAAATGTCATGTGTTGCACCTGGGGAGGAAGAATCATCAAACACTCCTACAGCCTGCGAGGTACCACTAAGTAGCACAACTGCGGAAAGGGATCTCAGAGTTGTAGTCGACTCCAAAATGAACACGAGTCACCAGTATGATGAGGTAACAAGTAAAGCTAACCACACCCTGTCATGCATAAGTAGGTGCATCACAAACAGGTCTAGGGAGGTGATACTTCCCCTCTATGTGGCATTGGTTAGGCCATAACTGGAGTACTGCCTCCAGTTTTGGGCACCACACTTCAGGAGGGATGTGGATGGCCTGGAGTGGGTTCAGAGGAGGGCCACTCATTTGGTTAAGGCCTACAGAAAAAACCTTATGTGGACCAATTGGGAGACCTGAACCTCTTCAGCCTCCGCAAGGGGAGGCTGAGAGGTGATTTCATGGCCACCTACAAACTCATCGGGGAAGGGGGGTGTGGAAAGGGGGGAGCAGCAAGAAATAGGGGATATAAGGGCACCTGTCGGGGTAACTAGAAATAATGGCCACAAACTGGAAGAGAGCAAATTCAGATTGGACATCAGGAAAAAATTCTTTACAGTGAGGGTTGTCAAAATATGGAATAAGCTTCCAAGGGGGGTGGTGCTGTCCCCTTCCTTGGAGGCGTTTAAGAGGAGATTGGACAGACACCTGGCTGGAGTCACCTGACCCCAGTACTCATTCCTGCCCAGGGCAGGGGGTCAGACTTGATGATCTAATAGGTCCCTTCTGACCTTAACATCTATGAAACTATGAAATAGTTACCCCATAAATATAATCTAACAAGTCGTCATTTTATATAACCGATATGAAGGAAAGGTGCCAGAGCATAGAGTTATGCAGCATGTAACCCAATAGGAAGGGCTTGCTAATCATAAGCCTTGAAGAGCCTAACGGGGAAATGCCCACTGTCCCTCACCTAACTTAAAACATCTAAGTAGATGCAACATTCTCAAAATTCCCTGAAATCGTGGAGAATGCCCTCTCTTACAGGAAAGTCCAATCCCACCCACTCTCTTTGTACCCCAGGAATATATAATACAGGTCACCTGTCTAACAATGCTTTGGATCAGCTTGTCCATGGTAAAGGCGATGTAGGCATGAATAGTGAACATCTCGCGCAGCGAGTCCTCATACTGAGATGAGTCCATGTTGCCATCTAGCAGATTCCGCACCATGTCCAGGAAAGCTGGGTAGTAATCCTCGACATCAATATCCACTACAGGGAGAGAGCATGCAAGATGAAACGTGTTCCAACTCACCCGGGAAAGGCTGTTCCTACAAGCCTGCTCTGACTTCTAGGAATGATAGGGCCACATGCCTAGGACCCCAGACTTAGTTTGACCAGACAAGCCTGTGAACAACCAGAATGATCTACAAAGGAGGAATAGAACTGTCAAATATTCAAAATGATTCCTTTTAAAAGAAAGTTACTGACAATTTTGTCACCAGTTCTCTGCGCTGACCTCCTCTGAGGCCTCTTCCATAGTAACTCTCCAAACCAGGAGGTTCTCTCCTCAAAAAACATTAAGCATATGTAGAGCTATGACTTCATTACAGCTATAGTTTGTGTGGACAACCTGTGGCTCTAATGAAGTCCTTACTGCACATATTCCTTCTTTTAGAATTTCAGTAGTGACTAGAGGCTTCAACAGGTATTCAGGCCCACTGTGTTAGATGCCGTACAAGTACACAAGAGGCCATCCCTGCTTCAATGGGTTTAGTTTTAGCAGATTCTCCAAAGCCCTAGGAGACTGCTCAAACTTCACAACCACCATAATTCCTGCCCCAGCATCCCTTCCCCCACAAACCCATGCAAGAAGTGTGCTCACTGGGCTCCTTTAGTCGCAGCTGGATGGCAGGGCTGTCACTTTTGTCTCGTTTTATGCCTAGCACTTCCCGCTCCCACTCCCTTTCCCGGTTCTCTTCTTCAATTTGCCGCTCAGCTTGGGTGCAAATCCTCAGCAGTCGTAAGCACAGGATCTGATGCAGTCGCATGAATATGTACCAGTTGTTGTTGACGTAGAAGAGGTTGTACACCTCATCCATGCCGCGCAGCTTCTGAGCCGTTGTGTTGTTGAACATCAGTTTGGTTTTTGGAGGACTGCCGCCAACACCATTGTGCTTTTTTGCAGCCCCTGTGGCTTCATCCACATCCATTTCCTCCTCCTCCTCCTCCTCCACATCTGAGAGCTCACCTCGCTGAGCAAACAGCAGGTCTGGAATGAAGTGATACATGATCTGCTTGATTTTGTACTTGTCCTCTTTCTGGATTCCTGTCTGCCGTTTTACATGGTGGATGATGAGGGAGGCAGCATCCTCCAAGATTTGCTTGTCTTCATAGGCCAGTGACAGGTGCGGGCCTGTGGGTACTCCAGCATTGTCTTCTGAAGCTTGTTCTTGCCTCTGAGGTAGAAAGTGCAAACAAACAGCACGAGTTATTTTCATACAAGGAATTTATCATGTTTCCACAAGCTTTTTGAAAAGCTGTCCCAAGGAGCTAGATTTCCTCTCTCATTACAGTCCTTAGCCCAACTCTACCTACCCCAAGCAAACAAAAGCTGAGTCTGTAGAGAAGGGTTGAAAGTAACTGCTCAGAGCACAGGCAGCTGAAGGGAGGAGACTATCAGGTAATCATTGCCTTACCTCATCATAGATACTCTCAATCTCATTGAGGAGACTCTTTGACCTCAGGACCTTGGTGTCGTTCTGTTTGAAGTTGATGCCCTGGTGATCCAATGATTTCAGGTAATATTTCTCATTCTGCTCCCGCCAGACTTTGTTGAATCCTCTCTGGGCTTCTCGCCACTCTTCTTCTTTCATCTTTAACCTTGCAGCAAAAAATAGCAAAAATAGGAGTTAAGAAGTGCACATATACCATACTGATGAATGCTGGGCAAGGACAGAGTAGGTAACAAAGAAAACAAACCTTCCACCCAAGATCCATTATCCACTGAAACACCACCACCTCTCAGAAGCTGGCCATTACACTGTGGTTGCATGACCTCGCTAACTAGGCTAAAGAGGACATTCAACCCACCCTTTTTCTATTCCATACAGCTTTAACCGAATTCTGAGAGAGGTTCTAGGTTTACTTCTGCTGTTCCAGAATTCTACGGCACAGAATCGAGATACAGCAGAGGTTCTGCAGTCTTATAATCAGTTGATCAAAAGGGTTCCAAGTATTTGAAACATACTAGAAATAAGTGCAGTACATGAGGATTTAGCCACATGCTAAGGACTGCAGAACTCTCAAGCTTCTTGCTGATTCATCTTCGTATATTCCTTTTACATGATCCTTCGAACATACAAATAACCCTGAACCCTCCCCCAGCCTGTGTCTAGCATAAAAGGAAGTCAACTGTCACCTCAGAACACATGCACTGTAACCATCCTCATCCTATTTAAGAGAAAAAAAAAATCACAATGAAAATCCTCCATAGCCTCTGCTTCCCATGTGGAGCCAAACAAAAACCCCTCTCTCTCCTCACTGAGGATTAAAATACTGCATTTTTCATTTAAGTGACAGATTATTTTTCTGACAGACTAGAACTTTGCAAAAATGTAGGTCACTGAGCACTCCAAGTGTCTGCACACACAGATGCATCTCATATGGCAATCACTTTTCAAAACAGTATCACTGGCTCAATCTAGCTTTTATACCACAACCATCATGCAGGTGTCTGAGAGGTTCCTTCCCATAAAAATTCTCTCTTGTTTCCTTATATCTAGTTCTTGGAATATATCCCTCCTCAGTAGAGTCACTCTTATATGAAACTTCAAAAGTTTAAACATATAGCTAGACTTTGTGAGGTAACAAAGTAAGAATCATCTGTGGTTAAACAATAGGATGATAATAGCAAATGGGACATTTTGATGCTATTATAACAAAGACTGACCACCTACTACTGCCCTGCTAAGAATAGTATTATTCTTGCTTCCAAATTATTAAAGGTACAACAGAGAGCAAAAATACAGAGCACTGTGATTCCAGCAACAGTGCTGTAGCATCTTATTGTGTAAAACCAGAACTGGCCAGGATGACACAGGATACAAAGGTTAGTTTAAAGACATTCACAGATTGCACCCTTCAGCTAGTGTAGTTGGAATATTCAGCACTTACTTCACTGAATAGCTCAGTGTGCATGTTTTCCTTTACAGCTTCCTTATCCAGCTCACTGAGGACAGTAAAGGAAGAGGAACTCGTGGCATGTCATGTCCAAAAGCGAGAAGCGTGCAAAACCACTAGGGGGCTTAGTTCTTATTCTGTTCTACTCTCACTGCCCTTAATCATGAAACATAAAAGTCAGAGAAGTTTGTAAAGTCTGGTATTCAGGGTTGGAGACACGGGTGCAAGTCCTGCACAGATGGTACTAGGGAACAGGTTTAGACATACTGCCTTTCATTTTCACTAACTGGCCCTTTGTTCATGAAAAGAGAGACAGGCACATGGAACATGTTTTTGTACAGTTCTGTAAAACCAACTTTTGTATGCCTTCCCAAACCTGTAATTTAAATATCAGTGATCACATCTCGTATCAGTCTTTCCTTGCTCATTTCTGAGCCCAGTTCTATTACCATTATGCCTTTCTTGTGATAGGCTGACCAGAATTGGAGATTTTCTTCTGTTCCATTCCTTTAGCATCATTGATCTCTGCAATGTTTTCAGGATAATTTTATGGACTACATTTTTCTTCCCACAGAAAACTGTGCTTCTACCTGTAGCTTACAAGCAACAGGTCAGGAACTTTTAATATAAGAATTTTACAATTAAAGGTTCTTACTTAGCTTCCCCTTTCACAAATTTCATACCACAATGGTAATTTTTGGTACAATGCCTGTTCTACAAAGGCTTCCAGCTTAAGTTAATATATTAACATCACTATCACTCAGTTTGATTATAGTTATTTCATGACTTCATTTCTGAAGATTGCAGAGGAGTAAGTCAGTAACCTCTCTCGTTATGTAGTTTAACACTAGCTATTTTAGGAAGGAATCATCTCAAGTATTGACAAACTCCTTCTTCATGCCTGGCCCAGTTGCAACACTTTACAAATAGGTAGCTGAAGGCACCTATTATGACTGGTCCAATTAGTCATCCCTGATTCTACCCTCAATATTGTATATTTAGACCCTTTCCCCAAACAGGAACTGGTAACTTTGACTTGGAATCTACTTCCAACACAGACTATCATTTGAGACCCTGATCACTTTCAGAGATTAAATTTGTTAGGGGTCCAACTCAGTCCTGCCGATCTCACAAAAGATGTCCTTGTCAGAGTAAAATGAAGCTTCAGGATTGCAAAGGTTCTTGCCCTTTCAGTGTGGTTGGTGGCATTTTTGCTTTCAGATTTCTAATTGGTCATTATGAAATTACTATAACATTAGAAGTATCAGCACTCTGCAGATTACTCCAAAGAGGCTGAGGTCCTGAAAAACAGAAACTACATGTTCTTACAAGTTTGAATAGTGCCTGGCCTGTTGTGAGCTTTACTAGAATACAAGTATATATGCCAGGATGCAGGAAGTACCTTTTCAGCACAATGGGAACTGCAACAGATGGATTCTTTCTCAGCCCATCTATGATGTCAGCCGCCTTGTCAGCATATATCCTCTGCAAGGCCTTGCGGTGGATCACCTCTGACGTGCCACCTAGAGTGTTGTCCAATCGGAATTTAGCTTGCTCCTCAGCAGACAAGCGAGAAAGTTTCTTCTGGATCGCCTCTAGGACTCTGATTGTTGCCAAGTTGGTCTCCAAGACAACATCCAGCTGAAAGATAAGGCACATTACTCTATGAAAACCAACATTTAAGTGATAGGAATTCTTGCTTCACAACACCTCTGCACTATTGTGAATTCAAAACAAGGCATATTCAAAGCAATGGTTTAATATTTCTGCACTTGGTTGTTCTAACCTAGTTGTATTGCATGTTTTCTATATAATACTGTATCTATCCACAAGAAGTTGAAGACTATCAAAACGATGCCTTTAGGAAATAAAGACATTTTTTGTGTGGGTAGCACACAATTGACAGCTACACTACAAAGGGATGCAACAAACCTTAGCATACAAAAATAATTACTGTACTGACTTTCACTTCAAGTAGTTGTCAATCATTTAACACTTCCACTGCAACATTTTTTCAAATTATTAAACACAGAAACTTAAATTCTTATGTACTGTGGGTAGTAAATGGTAAAAAACATTAATGGTAAAAAACACTGACAGTCAAGAATTTCATTTGCAATGACCTGAGCAGAAGAGTGGTGACAAAGCTATTAAGAAAAATCAGTGGGTAGGAGGTAGACTGTTGATCAGAAGTCATTCACATTTTACTTCTTGTATTTGAAAGGGTGGGTAGGGCTTAATTAGAAGCCATGTAAAACACGTATCCTCCAGAAGACCAGATTCTAAGCAGCAGCGTTTAAGCAGTAATTGTGTCCATATGGCTCACTAGTTCACAGAACTCCAAACTTCAAGAAATGGAGAAGAATATCTACCTCAAAACGCTCATCTTCACATCTGTAGATGTGTTCTTCATATTGTGTTTTCTTGGAGCTAACAAAGGTGGAATCTTCAGACCATGAAGGGAAGGAGACCCAAGTATCATTTAAAACCTGGGAACAAAGGAGGCAAGGTGAATGACAGTTTCTCTCTAAGGCATCACAGAAGACAGATACCCAAATTTCTACTACCCCATTCCTATATTTAAGGCACCTAGATTATTTACAGACGTCTACTGCCTCTTTCTTGGTAAAGAGGCTGCTCTGTGCACAAAGGAACCCCCTAAAAACGATTCTCAAACAGGGTGCCAGAGCTTGGAGTGCCATGAGAGTCTATTAAGGATGTTGTGGGGTGCCCCACTACATTAGGTGTACTAACACCTACACATGATTCACAAGATAACTCATAGATTTTAAGTTGGAATCTATAGTGTCAAAAACATTCTGATATTCAGTGGCCTCTCCGAGTTCTTTGCAACAGAAGAATTGCTTTATTATTTTTCTGTAGTCAAAAAAAAAGTTAAAACTAAAAGTTAGCATTTTCCAAAGGCTGCCTTAAGTATATAAAGGTTGAGAACCATTGTCCTACAGGTCCTCAGGAAGGCTGGAGATCCCTCTTCTCTCAAGGGAAGGTGAAGAGAAAGATGAAAGAATCCTTTTAATATACTGGCTTTGGATTTATTTGGCTGGCTGAAATAAATCCACTACACGTACAACTGTTTAATGATGCTAGGCAGTTACCATGTTATGGTAAGTATAATTCATTGTTAGAAACCCAATGGTTTTTTTTATATTTAAAAAATGCCACACCCCCCCCAAAATTGTAGTTAGAAACTGAAAATCAGACCAAGATGCTGAAAAAAGAATGTAAACCTCTATCTGATGACAAGCTCCTCCAGCTTTTATCAACACAAACAGAAGCAGTTTTTTCCCCAAACCCCTGAAAACCAGGCTACTAAGGCTGTGCAAAGGTTCAGTTGCTGATTCAATTCATAGGAGATTCAGCCCGATTCAGCATCCGAATCTCCATCAAATCAGGAGACCAATAAAAAGGTCCAAATCGATTCAAAGCCTCTGAATTGATTTGGAAAAGATTTGGACAGCTTTAGAGATTTGGGAAGTCCCCACTCACCGCTGCAGGGAGCTGGACCCAGACTCTGTGCCAGTAGGTAGGGGGCAGGGGAGTGGGGCCCCCCCAGCCCCCTTGAGTATCCCCCACCCCCCCCTCGCTCTCCCAACCCCCCCTCCTACCCCATGGCTGCCCTACCCAGCTCCAGAGTCCTGGCTCTTAAAAAAAAAAAAAAAAAACCCCCCGGTTACCCGT